AGAGTCTTCCTCTCCCGCACTGTCCCTCCACCCTCCCAAGCATGATGTCCCTCTCCAAGGACTGATTCCTCCTTGCAACATGTCAAAATTATGTCAGACAGAGCTTCAGGATCCTAGCCTCCAAGGAGCAGCCTGGCTTCACCCTCTCCAGGACGAACTAGTTTGTTCTCCTAACAGTCCATGATATATTCAATACTCTTCTCCAGCACCAAAGCTCAAAGGCATCAACTCTCATTCTATCGTCCCTAGTCATGTCCAGCTCTCTGAAGCATAGCAAATAATGGCAAAGACCACGGCCTGTATCAGACACACCTTAGTCTCTAGACTGATATCCTTGCTCCTCAGTACCTTGGAGAGGTCTCTGACAGCAGACTTTCCCAATGCAATTTGTCTTTGAATTTCCTGGCTGCTGGTTCCAAGAGTGTTGATTTAGAGCCAAGCAAATGGAAGCTGTCAACAATCTCAATCTCTTCACCATCTATCATGATGCTGCCAATTGGCCCAGTGATGAGATTTTTTGTTTCCTTGATGAGGAGAATAAATTAGCATGGTTCACTGCATGCATGGGAAAATGAAGAAAACCTGAGGAAGAGGGATGAGAAACATTAGCAGGGGTCAGATAATAAGCCACAGATAGGAAAATACTTAGGAATAAAGGATAATGCAAAGAAAGTGATGGAGACTGGTCAATAACTTTTCTTGTAAAGAAACCTAGATAATTAACTGAGGCCACAGCACACAGTTTATTAACTGTAATCACAGAGCAGAAATTACTGAAAACAGAAGGAAAACTTTGAATTCTTAAAGGAAATCATTAATGAGAATTGGGAAAGAATAGTCTTAATATCTCCAAAATATTAAAAAAGCAATGAGGTCAGTTTCAAGACTGATTCAGGCCATGATATTCATTCACTTGCTATGCATCTGAGAACTGGAAAATAGCTAAGAGTGGTGTGAGAAGAATTGAAATCTTTGAGTTGTGGTGCTGGAGAAGAGTGCGGAATATCCCATGAACTGCCATAAGAATAAACAGATATGCCTTGGAAGTAGATTCAGCCAGAGGGTTCCTTAAAGAAAAGAATGGTGAAGCTTCATCTTACATATTTTTGACATGATGTTAGGAAGGGCTATTTAATGGAAAAAAGACATCATGGTGTCTTTGAACACCATGAAAAGCTCAGAAAAGTGGAGAGTCAACATAAGAAAGCAAGACCCCCAAACAGATAAATGATATGTGATTACAGCAATTACTTCAAGTATGTTAGAGTTGATAAGGATGGCACAGAATATGGTGAGGCTTAGATCCATTGTGTACAGGGTTGTTAGGACTCATACTTGACTTCACAGTAACTAGCAAGAATAACAACTACTTTGACATATTTGTTCTTGTATGCCATCAAATTGGAACTGACTTATAGTTGATCTTCCAGTTCATTTTCAGAGTCAATAAATTGCATGGGAGGAGATTGTCCATCTTCTTCCATGGAACATCTGGTGGATTTGAATCATGTGCCGTTGCGGTTGCAATGTAGCTTCTTATCACTAGGCCACCAGAACTCCCTTGTCATATATAAAGTCCAGTTTTAGAAATTGATCTTTCCTGATGGTGTTTCCAACATGTTATTGTGGTGGTGGTATTTATTAGATGCCGTTGAATATGACTCATGACTATGGACAAAAGAGCTAAACCTTGCCCTATCTTGTGACATCCTAATTTCTGACATACTGGAGTTTATTCTTACAATCACTGTGTCAATCTATCTCATTTAGGGTCTTCCTCTCTTTTGCTGACCCTCCAACTTTTCAAGCATGATGTCATTTTCTAAGGGCCATCTTAACATCTATAAAATGTGTGAGATGAAACGTCACCATCCTTGTTTCCAAAAAGCCTTGCCTTCCTCACTTTTCAAGACGATTTTGATGAGCTCCTTCTTTTTATTCAGCAAGGTTTTATTATCTTCATAACACATGCTGTGTATGATTCTTCCTCCAATTCTGATGTCACATTCTTGTTTATAAAGTCCAGCCTCTCAAACTATTTGCTCAGCATAGAGATTGAATAGGTATGGAGAAAGGATATAGTACTGATGCACATCTTTCTTGATTTTAAATCATGAGTTTGGACAGGAGTTTCCTGGTCTAGGTGTAGGTTTCATATGAGGGCAATTAAGTGTTCTGGAATTCCCATTCTTCTCATTGTTAGTCATAATTTGTTATGTTCCACATGGTCTAATTGTTTGTATAATCAATAAAATGCAGATAGCCATTCTTTTGGAATTTTCTGATTTCAACCAAGATATATCTATCAACAGCAATGATATCCCTGGTGCCACAGCCTGTTCTAAACTCAAATCCTTGTCAATGTACTGTTATAGCCATTTGAAAATTATTTTCACTAAACAACTATGACAGCTCATCTCACCCGAGTAAGAAGAGCAAAATTTAACAGAACAGCAAACAACAAATGCTGGTGAGGTTGTGGAGAAACTGGAACTCTTATTCACTGTTGGTGGGAGTGTAAAATGGTGCAACCACTACGGAAGGCAGTATGGCACTTTCTCAAAAAGTTGCAAAAAGAAATACCATTTGACCCAGCAATTCCACTGCTGGAAATATACCCCAAAGAAGCCATAACAGCCACCCAAGTAGACCTATACACAGCCATGTTTATCATGGCCTTGTTCACAATAGCAA